CTGAAGGAGCTCTGCGATAGGTAGGAGGAGAACCAGGAGAGAGCAGAGTCTCGGAGGCCAAGAGAGTTGAGTTTTTTGAGGAGGAGGGGATGGTCAACTGTATCAAAAGCCGCAAAGAGGTCAAGTAGTAAGAGTACGGAGCAGTGGCCATTGGTTTTAGCGGTTAGTAGATCATTCCTGAGTTTTAGTAGGGCAGTTTTAGTGGAGTGTAATCAGCAAAAGCCAGACTGTAAAGGGCAAGAAGGTTGTTGTCAGTGAGGTAGGAGCTCAGGCGATTGTAGATTAGGCGTTCTAAGAGTTTAGAGGTAAACGGAAGCAGGGAGATGGGTCTTAAGTTGTTTGGGTTGGTGGGGTCCAGAGAGGGTTTTTTTTAATTATGGCAGTGATGTGTGCATGCTTTAGAGGGGAGGGGAAGGCACCGTTCGAGAGGGAGAGATTGAAGATATGAGTGTGGGAGCATAGGATGGAAGAAGAGGGTGACCATAGTAGTTGTGAGGGGACAGGTAGTGAGACAGGCTTCTGAGAAAACCTTAGTGACCTCTTCAGTAGTAGCAAGGTCAAAAGAGAAAAGAGTTGAGGGAGGTTTAGTATGAGGTATGCTAAGTGGGATAGATGTCTGTGCAATAGCAATGCCCCTACGAATTGCATCAATCTTGTTTTTGAAATGATTTGCAATCTCGTGAGCAGTGAGTGAGGTGCTGGGTGGAGGTGAAGGTGGAGAAAGTAGAGAGAAAGTAGAGAGTTAAAAGTAGTGAAGAGACGACGAGGACTGGATGATAAACTATTGATGAAAGTGACAAAGTAGGCTTGTTTGGCAGTATGGAGGGAGGAATTGTATGTTAAGAAAGCAGATTTATATAGGGTGAATGCTTGGTGAGATTTGGTTTTACGCCACAATCGCTCCAGCGCATGACTATGTCGTTTAAGATTTCTGGTGTTGTCAGTCTGCCAAGGTTGTAATGGTCGGGGCCTGATGCTTCGTGTTGTTAGAGGAGCAAGTGAGTCTAGTGTGGATGAAAGCAAACTGTTGTAGACAGAAGTGGCCAGGTCAGGGCAGGACAGGGGAGAGATTCTGTCATAGAGTTGGTCAGTTGCAGAGTGGAAAGGAGCAGGGTTCCAGTTGTGAAGGTTTCTGCAGGTAATTGTTTGCTGCTTGGAGGGATAAGTGTTTGAAGATGAGGACACTGTGAAGGTGATGAGATTGTGATCAGAGAGAGGAAAGGGGATGTTTGTGAGGTTGTAGGGGGGAGTGCAAAGATGGGAGAAAACAAGGTCTAATGTATTCCCACCAGAGTGGAGGACTGTGTCCATTGTACTAATGCAAAAGATGAGGTTAGGTTGAAGAGTTGGGATGTAGCCAGGTTGTTGACATTAATGGGGATGTTAAAATCTCCGAGAATGATAGTGTAGGGTATTTCAGAGGAGAGAAAGTAGGGTAGCCAGAGGGAGAAATCATCAAGAAACAGTGACACTGGTCCAGGAGGCTGATAGATCACTGCAATCCTCAGAGAAATGGGAGAAAACAGTTGAATGCAGGGAGTCTCGAAAGAAGAGAAGCATAGAGTGGGAGGGTTAGGGAGGACTTGAAACATGCTCAGTGGGGATAGAAGCAAACCAACCCCACCTCTTTTCCAACCACTGGGTCTGGGTGAGTGGGTCCAGAGGAGGCCTCCATAGGAAAGTGCTGAGGGAGAAGAAGAATCTGCTGCTTGAAGCCAGGTTTCTGTAATTGCTAGTAGGTTAAGGGAGCGGAGAAAAAAAAGGTCATGGACAGAGGTGAGCTTATTACAGACAGAGCGGGCATTCCAGAGTGCACATGAAAAAGGAAGGGTGGTTTTTGGGAGCATGGGGACTGATATTAAATTGAGGGGATTGCAGCTATTCCTGGAGGAAAGAGGGTGCCTGGTGTGGGGGTGAGATACTGGAGGACCAGAGTTTGGGGAGATATCCCCAGAGGTTAGGAGAAGAAGAAGGGTGAGGAAAAGTAACATGGGAGCGGGATGTACACGAGAATACATGCCTTCCTGTCCTGGTGTTTGGGTCAGCAGGAGTGTAAAGTATCAGCAGGAAAAAATGTGTATACCACTTAACACACTAATATATAAAAAGATGATCGTGTTCAGAGAAAGAACGCTCCAGGCCCAATTGTGTACACCAGCCCTGCATCTTTATGGCTAGGTTCACACTAATGCAGTGCGGTACATCGCATGTGATTCTCACTGGAACTGCACTGCATTCCTGTGCAAATCACATGCGATTTGTGTGCGGTGCGATCGGAGCCATACATTTTGTATGGCTCAAATCGCACTGCACCAAAAAGTCCGCACTAGAATCGGATCGCATGGGTACTCACACTTATGTGATCCGATTCTGCACATCGCATAGCCTTTTTCAGGCCTATTTTGGGGTGTTGTCAACTTAACATACACTCCCGCATTGGTTCACATGAGCAGGGTGCAATTCTGATGCGGTGCGGAATTCACACATTTCTTGAGGCCCGAAAATGCCAGGATAGTACAAATATCCCCCAAATGACCCATTTTTGGAAAATAGGCAGTCCAAGGTATTTAGTAAGTGGCATGGCAAGTTTTTTGAAGTTGTAATTATTGTCACAATTTTTTGGAAAATGAAAAAAAAAAAAAAAATGTTCACAATGTTTTGTTTTTTTTTGTAACATATGTTTACCAGTCCAGTACAGCATTATTATGTAACTGGCATGGCGGTGATCAGAGGCACTGACTGGTGACAGTACGTTAAAAAAAAAAAAAAAGTTTAATTTTTATTAATAATAATAATAAAAAAATATTATTATTATTATACAGGATTTATATAGCACTAACAGTTTGCTCAGCACTTTACAATATAACGGGAGACAATACAGCAACAATACAGTTCAATACAAGAGGGTTAGGAGGGCCCTGCTCCTTGGAGCTTACAATCTAAGAATGGTTTTTATTTTTTTTATTATTACTTATTTTTCTATTTTTTTAACACACTGTGATCAGAGCAATACAGTGTTACCATAGTAACACTGTACTACTCTGGGGCAGTGATTAGGATTTTTTTCCCTTTTTTTTTTTTTTTGACACATTATGATTGCTTATACCAAATGTATTTCACTGATATAAGAAACTATTTATACTGAATGAAACTGATTTTGTTGTGATTAGCTGTGAATGGTCAAAGCTAATTACATGATACAGATGGGCTGTGATTGGCCCTGTCTGTACCATGTGATTGCTGTGACCAATCACAGCTAACAACACAATTGTATACAATGGATGGCATGAAAGGTAACCATCCATTGTTTAAAATTGTCATGTGATCTGCTATGATTGGTCACAGCGATCACATGACACTGGCAGCGGCCCGGTGTAGTGACCAGTCATCAGCTGTGTCCGGTGGGCACAGTCGGTGACCGATCGCACCGCTGCGCAGCCCTGTGAGTGGTGCCTCCTGAGAGGATGTCATATGATGCCCACTTAGAAGGAGGAATGTCCAGCTTGGCCATCAATCTGCTATAGGCCAGGAGGGAAGGTGTTAATAAAGTCTGAACAAAAATAAATTCCGTCTGCACCTTTTTCATCAGATTCCCCCTTACATCTGAGGTCCCCTTACATCAGAGTCCCTAATGGAGTCCACTCTTACATTTTGTCCCCATCAGAGTCCCCCTTTTCTCAGTGTCCATAGTTTGGAGAACCGTGGACCAGAGGGATAGGTTAAATTCTAATGTGTAATGTTTTAAATATGTAAGGCTGGGTTTAGTTAGTTTTTTTTTGTTTTGTGGATGTGGTTTATTCTGTGTTGTGTTGTTTTTTTTGGGGTAAATGTGTGTCAAAAAAATAGAATTTTTTCACTCACCATAAAATTCTGTTCTTCAAGCTCTTTGAGGGATACAGAATTCAGATACATTTGGATTATGTGTCCACCTATAGGATGAGCTGCAGGTAGATCAGATAATGATTCTGGAGGGGAAGATGTTGAGCTACATTTATAGCCTCTATAGTTAGAGTCAGCAATCAAAGTTTCTAAATGAGCCAAGAAATCTTACATAACAGCAGTGAAATCCTCATGAGATAAGGCCAAGGAGAGGGCCACACTTGATGGAGTTAATAAAAATTCAAAAGAATGCAAGGATCAAGCAAGGGGCTATCTTCCTTGCTGCCACTGTGAGGCCATAAAAACTGCAGACCGCCCAGGAACGGTTAGTGAATTGTGAGCCAGAAGGACCTGATGCAGTGGGGCTGCTCCTCTTGGGATCTGCTAAAAGAAATAGCTGTTGATACTCAGCCCCACATAGAGTACTCATAGTTGAGTACTTCAGAGACAAGGTCTGGACCTGGAAAGCGACCCTTCAGCTAACACAAATGTCTGAAAAGCACCAAATGCAAAGCCCAGTGCCCAAATGCAATATTCCAGGTAGGCCCCGCTACTGTCCAGTCCAGTGGGGTTCAGGTACAGCCTCCAAATCTGTTACTGAAGATACGTGAATACATTGCTGCATAAAGATACTAGCGCAAGCAGTGTTTAGAAAAGTCTTGAGGGAAGAAAAAAATATTCTTGAGAAAAGATGTCTATTCTCCTAGCACACTAGCAAAAATCTGAGGCATACTGGGAACGAGAGAGGTTATATCAGACTGATCACAAATTTTTGTTTGCTAGGGTTCAAATCCTCCTGTAGGTGGCAGTAAAATCCAAATGTCTCTAAATCCTGGTCCCTCAACAAAAAAGAGAAAAAAAAAACTTTTAGTAAATAAAAAGAGCTAAAAAAAGCAATCATTCCAGCTAAAGTTATGAAGCGGACACAAATTATTTGTCGACCTAAATATGAAAATGGCTAGGCAAGCTGTAGTCTACAGCTTACTGGCATCATGTTGCCTTATGATGCTAAATTTAAGATATACAATTTCAACATTTAAAAAAAAAAAAAATAATCAAAACTTGCACAAAAAAATAAATAATTAAATAAAACAATAAAAACAATAAAGAAGAAGACTGACCTTTAGAGTCATTCAGATGAACTGCTCTGAGGTATAAGAGTCCAACAACTTTATCAAACTCATCTAGCATATGCTTAAGGCCTTTTTCTTCTGACAAGTTGTGACCTGTGGTAAGCAGACCAGAGCAAAAATAATGCCTTATATTACAACTATGATAATATTACACAAGAACAGAATAACATGGTACTAACCAGCAGCAAAAGCATGACAGGTATCTAGACACACGCCAATTCGAGTCTTGTCTTTGACAAGGTCTATAATTCCATGCAGCTCCTCAAAGCGACCTCCAACTGTGCTACCTTGACAGCTCATATTCTCCAGCACTGTAAAAGAGAAAACAGTACCAGCATTGAATTGTGGGCAGATCTATGTTCACATTGAGAGACAAAAACAGCCTAGTTTCCATTAAAAATGGTCTAATGCATATAAAAATATATTAGGTGAATAAAAAGTCATCAGTATAATTTACTAATGCACCTGCCAGATGCTTGATAATAACGAAACATCCATTTGAAAAATGTTAAAAAAACGGGATCCACTGCCAAAATATTACACAAATTCTATAGCCGACTCATCAACATAAGGGTGGTGTTCTCAAGACTAATGAAACATGTAATACAAAACAGACACGTGGGTAAAAGGACCCACAATAAGAAGTCCCAAAGAGAACAACTGCGGCTTTTGCAATATCCAATATATGATAATACAAAATAGTTACTCCTCCACAAGATAAACCAAAATGACAACATTGCCATAATATAACACCCGCCCGGGCACACAAACACACTCTCCCACACACACTGGGTAATGCAGTATACGAAATGCAAAAAAGGGGGGCCAAAAATATAGGCCCTATTGGCAGGATGCTGAATTTGAAAGCAATGACATCAGAAACAGGAAGGCATAATAATTGAACAGCATAGGCTCCCTGAATCGGTTCCTACATAAGTCACACATCAATGTGTATATCTTGAAGTATGGTATGGAAAAGTCCATCAAATTCAAACAGATGTGTATCCACCATGCCAGCATGTGGTCTTGCATAACATATCTCCACTCGCAATCAGAATCATACAGAGTATGATAATGTCATTAAGGTTACAGACAGGACTGGCACATCTTCTTTAATGTTCTTACCCTACACCATGCCTTATTGGTAGTTCGTATTTAAAACTTCAATGCAAGGCAAATAACTGATACAGCTGCTTATGCCACAATAACAGGTCCACTTTGATGACAGTAATCTGTCTTCGTTACTAGCTTCCGCAGTCAGTGATAAACCTGCACAAAGCCAAAAAGTCACAGGCCCTTTATAATGAACATTTCAGTAACTCATAAATCAACCCAATGGTATTTTGGCAGGTTGTCCTAACTGGCAGATAAAACAAATAAACAGGTTCACAGTGTTACTGCACAACTGGAGATTTTACAGAAGACAGAAGACCTAGATAGCCATCCTCCAACAAGAAAACCTTAACTTATTATAATTATTAAATGGCCCCTTAGTGTGGAACATGTTAAAAATGTCTTTGCTAGTGGTTGGATGTCAGTATCTGGTGAATAAAACCTCCTAATTGAGCAGCAGCACCTTTGCAAGTAATTGGCCAAGTAAGGTCTGGAATCTACGAATTGTTATCTGATATAGTGGATGGAAGAGCTGGTCTCAGCAGTAACAGATATTGAAGTTAAAGTGTTACTAAACTCATGACCCTGCATCCACTATATCTGGTCTCCCACAGTACACAGAACATGGAAATGCAATTATTTTAGTAAATTAAACTGCTAAATATCTTTTATCATCAGAAGTATATAGCACTCTTGTGACTTTTATCAGTGTCCAGGAGAGCACTGATTAAAGCTTGTAAAAGGAGTTTTCATTTTGCTCTAGGAGGATGCAGAACCCCTGACCTCTGTATGGACAGTGTTGATTGGCCCAGTGCTGATCACATGCACCCTCCCAAGAAAAAAACCTCTCTAGCAAATACACACCAAACTGAGCATGTGCAGAGTGTTTCCACACGATATGTTATATCAGGAGATAACGGGGGGGGCACTGGAAAAAGTGGAGGATCAGGGAAGACAGGATCAAACAGCCTTTTTACACAATGCAGAGGATTAACCCCTTAGGTTCCACAATGACTATAACAAGCATGCTTTACTGCATATACAAACTGATTTTACTGTTGTGGGTTTAGTAACACTTTTTTTTTTAAATCAGATCTTTTTTTTAATTGAAATTTGGGTCCATACACATGCATAGATATACAATTACAATTTAGTATAGCAATAAAAGAAATACTGTTCACAAGTGCAGTACTCAAGGAGGGTACATCAGAGCACACGGAAGTCATGAACATAGATCCCAAACCATATTGATTTTTCTTTTGTTAGAAAAAAAATATTATTGAAAAACAAAAGACCAAAAATAAATAAATAAATAAAACCAGAACAGTAAAAACAAACCATTCTTCAATTAAACTGAACCTTAGTGAACAAGTTGCCTCGGTGTATCCTTTTTTAGAAGTATAGGTAAAGGTCTAATGTCCATAAAAAAAAAAAGAACATTCGGTACATATGTGACTCTAGTACCTGTTTAAAGGCTGGTGAGATAGAAGATGGAGATTAGAGATAAGTGTGGTAGTAATTTAAATTTATTAATCATGTAAATCTATTCTACTGACAAAACACCATAAAGTGTGGAGCAGGGTTAATGTCATAAGCCTGAAGAGACTCCTCCACTTAGTATTCTGTCCCTGACTAGTTGGAGTGGTGCTAATCCTGGTGTACTTAACCAAGCATCCCAAATAGTTGTGAATCTCCGTGCACATCCCCTATGTTGATAGATAATTTCTATCCGACTAAGGTATTGTTAACGGTTTTAATCCATGTCACATGGGACGTAGGGCTATGAGATTCCGAGCGATAAACAGCACTCGGAGAATTGCAATGTACAGTGCATCCAGAAAGTATTCACAGCGCTTAACTTTTGCTACATTTTGCTATGCTACAGCCTTATTCTTCTGAATTCTCTGAATTTATTATTAAATTCATTTTTTTCCTCAACATTCTACAAACAATACCGCATCATAACAACATGAAAGAAGTTTGTTTTGAAATCTTTGCAATTTATTAAAAATAAAAAAAAACATGTACATAAGTATTTACAGCCCTTGCCATAACACTCAAACTCGAGCTCTGGTGCATCCTATTCCCACTGATCATCCTTGAGATGTTTCCACAACTTGACTGTAGTCCACCTGTGGGAAATTCAGTTGATTGGACATGATTAGAAAAGGCATAAACCTGTCTATATAAAGGTCCCACAGTTAACAGTGCATGTCAGAACACAAACCAAGCCATGAAGTCCAAGGAATTGTATGAAGACCTCCGAGACAGGATTGTATCAAGGCACAGATCTGGGGAAGGGTACAGAACATTTTCTGCAGCATTGAAAGTCCCGATGAGCACAGTGGCCTCCATCATCCGTAAAAGGATGAAGTGTGGAAGCACTAGGAATCTTCCTAGAGTGGGCCGCCCAGCCAAAATGAGCGATCAAGGGAGAAGAGCCTTAGCCAGGGAGGTAACCAAGCACCGGATGGTCACTTTGAAAGAGTGAAGAGATGACCCACCATCTCTTCTGCACTCCACCAATCAGGCCTGTATGGTAGAGTGGCCAGAGGGAAGCCACTCCTCAGTAAAAGGCAAATGGCAGCCTTCCTGGAGTTTTCCAAAAAGGCACCTGAGGGACTCTCAGACCACGAGAAACAAAACTCTCTGGTCTGATGAAAAAAAGATTGAACTCTTTGGCATGAATGCCAAGTGTCATGTCTGGAGGAAACCAGGCAACGCTCACCACCTGGCCAATACCATCCCTACAGTGAAGCATGGTGGTGGAAGCATCATGCTGTGGGGATGTTTTTCAGCAACAGGAACTGGGAGACTAGTCAGGATGGAAGGAAAGATGAATGCAGCAATGTACAGGGACATCCTTGATTAAAACCTGTTCTAGAGCACTCTGGACCTTAGACTGGGGTGATGGTTCATCTTTCAACAGGACAATGACCCTAAGCACACAGCCCACATAACAAAGAAGTGGCTACGGGCCAACTCTGTGAATGTCCTGGAATAGCCCAGCCAGAGCCCAGACTTGAACCCGACTGAACATCTCTGGAGAGATCTGAAAATGGCTATGCACCAACGCTCCCCATCCAACCTGATGGAGCTTGAGAGGTACTGCAAAGAAGAATGGGAGAAATTGCCCAAAAATAGGTGTGCCAAGCTTGTAACATCATACTCAAAACGACTTGAGGCTGTAAATGGTGCTAAAGGTGCTTCAACAAAATATTGAGCAAAGGCTGTGAATACTTATGTGCATGTGTTCTTTTTCCTTTTTTATATTTAATAAAGTGCAAAGATTTCAAAACTAACTTCTTTCACATTGTCATTATGGGATATTGTTTGTAGAATGCGGAGGAAAAAAATGAATTTAATCCATTTTGGAATAAGGCTGTAACATAACAAAATGTGTCAAAAGTTAAGCGGTGTGAATACTTTCTGGATGCACTAAGTATTCAGGGTATATAGCTCCTCATCTTTGGCTCCCAGCAGACAAATCTTAGGGTCCAGGGGAAGATTAAGAATCCAAATTCTATTTATCATTTCTATAATATATGTCCAGTATCTTGCTAATCTAGGGCATTTCCATAACATATGGAGAAGTGTGCCATTATTAATTTCGCACCTGGGACAAAAGGGGAGAATCCCTACTATTCCAGGCATACAATTTTTGAGGTGTGCAGTAAGTACAGTGAATGATAAAGAGCTTGGTAAGCTTTTGAGTTGGACAGAGAGATCTTAATTGCACTTTCTAGTATTGTGGGCCATTCCTCATCTGAGGATTGAGAGACAGTGCCTTCGAAACCCGTTGTACAAAAGATTGATATGAGGATATTTGGCCCTTTCTAGAGGTTGAGGATATAGTTTGAGTAAGAACTTCTGCGTCAACAAATAACCATGTAGAGATTTTAGATTGTCCAGAGATGGCATGTCTAACTTGCAGGTATCGAAAATAAAAGTGATTAGATAAGCCATACTCAAGTTGCAAAGTTCGAAAGTCCATCAGCAGTTGACATGATACAATTATGGTACATATTTAAAACCCATCGCCATCCAGCCAGCAAAGCCCTGTAACTTTCCTAGTTCAGAATAGTTAGTGTTATAAAAAATACAAGTGAAGGAGGTGTAGCCGGAATAATTAAAATTAAGTTTAGCCTTAGACCATAATTTACCTATCAATACTAGGGTAGGGTATCGAGAAAAGGCT